TCTATTCGCCACTATTTGCTTATTCATCTATCAGTCTGTCATCCATCATTCATTTGTCCATTCAAACATGTGCCGAGAAAAGCTGTCTTAGTTACTCATCATACATCTCCATATGAAATGAATTCACCCTATTTCGTTTAAGGTGATGAAGGATTGATAGTATAATCTTCCCACAGAGCTGACGTCTCCGTTGAGGCTTGCTTTCCCAAACGAATTTTGCTAAACCAATCTACTACACTACTTATTTTTGGTATAAGTAGAGTTTCGAGACTACCAGAAATAAGGTGTTGATAAGACATAGGCGATGTCGAAACTGTAGTCAACCTCTGCTTGGATGAGAAGAACTTTTGGGAGAGCAAGGCTCTTTGAAATTTAATACAAAACATCAGCTCTACTCATATCATTGTGGAAAAATTCGACAAACAGTCCTTCATCATTTTGAACAAAATAGTGTGATACATCTCATATAACTGATTTATATATGAAAATATGTTGCCATTTATGCACCCAACTATTTGTCCCGATCCGTATTTGTCTATCCATCTAACCTTCCTTTCTTCCAACGATCCAACCATTCCAAAACAATCATCCATTTAGCCTTATCATATATTCATCCATTTGCACACCTGACCAGAAAAGCTGTCTCTCTTACTTGTCGACCATCTCCATAACTTGCTCCATATGCATCCACCTATTCGTCCGGGTGTGTATCTATTCCTCTCACCATCTCTCCATCTATGCATCTTGTCATCTATTCATCCATTCTTCCCGTCCATCCATTTATCCAATCAAAAATAGGCCAAGAATCGCCCTCTTCTTAGTGTGTCATACATGCATCCTTCCCTTTGGCCATTTATATGTTTATCTATCTATCTACCTACCTACCTGTCCATAAATGTATCACTTCACTTATAGTGTGATGAGTGGGAATGCGAAGAAAGTTTGCTAATTTATTTTGAAGTATCCCAAACTGGCTATAGACTGACAACAATCCTACCTTCTTTGTAATGACCTTAGACAAATCGAGATAGCTTTGCTGGGAAAACTTGATAAAAATTTATCAACTCCGAGTCAGATTACAGGGCGACTTATAGCACGAAGATAAATTGGGCATTCAGTTATTCCTCACTTTTCTGGGCTGGCTGAAGGCTAATTCTAACCAACCTGAAGGTTTGGCTGTCTCCTAACAAAACATGATAGGATACGATTGAAGCCTGTGTAGCATAGGTTCTGTTTGCAGACTAGACAATCCACATGCAAAAAGCCCTCGCTGGGTTGGTATGCCTGTGAACAGAGACGCTCGTTACAAGTCCAGATGGAGGTCGCAAGTTTTATCATCATTTTAAGAGCCTTTTTTCGGATAAAAAGCCCCACGGGCAACAAACTCTCAGCATAAACTTTCGGGATCTGTGCAGAAACCAGTGAAGCGCGGCATTTAAATCGTGTTCATTTTAATTTTGACATGAACTCTGCCCTGAAAAGCTGCGCTTTTCTCATTTGTCGCGCCGATTTGTGTTGTGCACCGTCTGAATTTCTGGCTATATTTCGGCAAATTACACCGAATTAATCTGAAGCAAACCACAGATCTGTCTTCCTAGTGGCCATTTGTCAAATTCCTCCTCAGAAGAACTAGAGCTACATGACAAAATGCATTAAGCCGGCCATTCAACCAGACCAATTGGAGTTCTCGGCTCCAAGTGTCCAAGAGGGCTCGACAGTTCAGCCAAACCTGAAAGGTTAGGATGCTTTGAATCCGCTTGTCTCTCTTACTCTACTTGCCTAAAAGATGGAAATGGCATCTAAAGTTTATCTGAAGAATGATGATGCCTGCCGCGTGACGGTGCCACAGTTCACGAGGCTCGAGAAGAAGTGTGACGATTTAGTAGTCAACTCGATTAGAACTCTATTTAACGACTACTTCTCCAGAAATTGAACAAAGATGACAATTTGTCGAGTGGACATGTGCATGGGCAATTCGTCGTCTGGACGGTCGAAATTTGCGGCATACCAACCGAGTCTTCGTCTGCAAAATGGTATACCTGAAGAGACGTTGGGTTTTGATGACTCATTTGAAATCTCGGTGTGAAGGGGTGTGAAGAAAAGTTTCGTAGGGAGCGCCAAAAAAAAAGACGGCAGTGTCTGCTGCAATTTAACTTGGACATTTAGGCCGAATTAGTCTTCTGGAAGGCGTACTTCGGTCGCTATGACAGCGTGTAGAAATAGCATGTGACTCGCATTTTCAGATCAAGCTAGAACTTGGTTTGAACGGATTGCTTAATGTGTATTACTGGAAAATGAGGAAGAAATGGTTTATAATGAAGAGCATTGGGTTGTGTAAAGGTGTCTTTGGTTCATCCTCTGGAGTGGTGATAGCAGGCATCGTCCGAGTAGGAAAGCATCTTTTACGAAAAGAATGCACCAGTACACTGAATCACGAAAGGTTGCACAGCAAAACTGTCCGAACTAAAAATCACTCCTTAGGTCTCGGGGAAGGTCAATTCACGAATACTTTCTTACCAATTTTTCATTCTGAATCAAAAGTCAAGATAGCTTAACTTACTTTTTTTCATGTGTCGAGTTTTCCTTTCCATTTTGCCAGACATCGTCAAATATGAACCTCATTCTTGACTTATTTATTTACCTTTTTCGAGTGGATACAACAGGTAATGTCGGGTCGATTAGCTATCTTGACTTAATGTTGAAACAAAGGGGCTGTACAAATATATGCAAAGAAAAGTTGGGTTTCGAGGAATCTCTTGCTCCATAATTGTCGAGGTTACTTCCATTTCGAGGGAAAGTGTTTGGTGAAGAGATTCGAAGGTCGGTTCCATCAGAAGACAACGGCGGATTCCTCCTCGTCGTTAGCTTTAATTGTGTTGTGACGATTATAACCTGCTTTGATGATGTTCGTCAAATGATGGACAAAAGCCTAGCCCCTTTTCACCGGAATCGAAGGAGATTGCCTCGGAAACAGCTTCAACATGAATCTTTCAGTAAAGCCAATCGGTAGCTGGTAAAGAGGAATCCGCTGTCGTCTTCTGGTGTAATCGATCTTCGAATCTTTTGTAACTAAGCAAATCACTTTATACCTGATCAAAAAGGTCAGATGTAGAGTATATATACCGCTTTTTATGGATTTCTTGACTTCTTAGCTTGAATTTGGTTGTGACGATGGTACCTTGCTCTGATGATATTCGTCAAATGACGGACAAAAGCTTAGCACCTTTTCACCGAAATCGAAGGAGATTGCCTCGGAGACAGCGTCCGCATGAATGTTCCAGTAAAGCCAATCGACAGCTGGTCAAGAGGAATCGGTCGTCGTCTTCTGGTGGAACCGACCTTCGAATCTCTTCACCCAACACTTTCCCTCGAAATGGAAGTAAGCTGTACAAATAAAGACCGAGTTCATGTTTAGCCTTGAACTGAAAGATGGCGCGGCCTGTGAACCAGTAAAGCTAAAGAGGGGCATGCTGAAAGGAATTCGTCGTCGTCTTGTGACGAGATCGAATTTTGAATCGCTTCAGCACCGACTCACACAAAAGTAAAATCGCCGACCAACGTCAGCAACTTCGCTGGAATATCAAGTCAAGACTAGTAACAAAAATAGACGAATTTCAAGCTTACTTGCACATCCAAGGGAAAATCGTTTAGTTCCAGAGTCTCCAGGAAGACGCCTTTCACACGATGTCTCTCGATCAGGTAGACCTCATCATTTTCATCTCGCTGGGCCATCAACCATTGTGCCTCCTTCGTCTCGGTCAGGATATTGTCAATGTAAATTAGTGGGTTCCAGAATCTATCAGAGTCTACAAAATGCAGCTCCTGTTTGAGGAAAAAAACAATAGAAAAGTGCTATAGCACATCGGCAACAGCATTCTGTCTAAAAAGCTGTTTCTGATTATTACCTCCAATTTGGCCTTCGATAAACCCTTCGTAAAACCCAATTCGAGTAATTAATAATATTGAGCTCAATGGAAAGTGGTACTTCTTTCAGTTAGTAGGGTTTCTCAAACTGACTCCGTAAACACACAGTTTCCCTCCACCTCCCTAGACTGTTTTATTCTTTGCAGACGAGAGGCCTCGAGGAAATTGGTGTCGGCGGTCTTGCCTATCTCATGCCCCCGAAGAGGCTGTGGTTGCTTAGCTCTGTCTGCTGGTTGCCAGGCCAGTCGAGAAGGCTCTCGAGGGTACTGCGAACCTGGCCGTACCGGCGACCCAAGACGCGAATCCCGGTCACTTCGGTCGATGGAGTCGAGCGATGAAGCCGGTTGTCATTCTGTCGTGAAATTGGCAACTTGTTTTGCATACTACTCAGTGTTCTCCTACTGACCGAATTTTTCTGTAACCAAAACACTGTGATTCCGAGGCTTCCAGCAGTCGGCTTATAAGTCGGAACCGGTTGGATATAAAAGAGAGTAACAACAAACTTTGCAAAGAATTGGAACGTTTTCAAGCCAGTCACCGAAGAATGGGCAAGAAAAGCTCAAATACGAGACCGTCTGATTAGGCAAATTAAAATGAGATCTCATCGTGTCGAAAGATCTACAAACGGTTCTTTGGCACGAAGGATTGCCGAAAAATTATAGCAACCTCTCATCACCGAAATGTCTTCTCTTGTTCTACAAGTAAGCATGTTTATAAACTGTCAGTAATGAGTGATGAAGGGCATAGTTGCATAAGAACTTGGCCACGGTGAGGGGAGTTTGACTCCCGACATTAGTGCCATGGCATTTGTTAGTCTTGAACCCAGGTTTGATGGTATTTTTCAGACATCTGTTGTGGCAAAAGACAGGTTGTGAGCGCGTAAAATTGGTGGACAACTGGAATATTGCCACTTCGTCGTCATCAGCCCCCTTTCAATTATTCGAGCAGAGCCCAAGATTCATGTCTGTAGAAGAATGGAGAAATTCTAATAAGCCGTCTCGAAGCAGCTCATGTCCTGACGAATTAGTCGCCAGGATGCAGGCGAGGGCCTGATCTAACCTAATTCTTGGGTGCTCAAGAGGTTATGCTGCCAAGAATTTTGGTATTTTTTGTGGTTTGTATGAGAAGGCAGTTGCTTTGAAGGCCTACAGTTTATGTGAAGAAAAGTTGGGTTTCGAGGCAGCTCTTGTTTCATAATTGTTGAGCTTTGTTAAGAAACCCTTTGTGTGAATCGATACATTTATATGGCGTTTTCCTCTTCATCGGATGGGAATAATGAAGGCATATGAACTAGTATGATTGTTAAAACCTTTTCTTTTGTAGGCATTTCGGGGTTGAGTGGCGGTTAAGTATGCTAGTTTCAACTAATTTCGTGTCGGATTGATGGACAGGCTGTCTACAATTGACTTTTGTGGGGAATTTCACTTTTCCATTTGTTCGTTTAAAGTAGTTTTTTGCGACTACCAGTAGGTCAAACATTTAAGATGTATTCACCGTATTTCGTGAAAGCAAGGCTATGTGCAATTTAGTGGAAACGTCAGCTCAACTCATATCATTGTGGAAAAATTCTTCTTCTGCCAGTCCTTCATCACCTTAAAC